CTTTACAGAATATTTGTTCAAGAGAGATGACAAAGTGATGTAAGTGCTTTATTCTATATTGACTCGGTACACATGTATTACTCCGGGGACAATTACTGTTACAAATTCTGTAAACTGTTGTTTACGTTGCAGTTACTTACAATTTGTACCAATTTATACGTTACATTTTATTTTCGCATATTATATATATAGAAATAAAAGAAATACTAATAAAATTGAATGGAATAGAATAGAATAGAAAATCATTTATTCAAATAAACTTAATTTAAGCACTTTCGAATAGTCATAACTATTTGTTCTTTATCTACCAGTCGTTCGAAAAGCTGTCTCATCACAAGAAGAACGAGCAAGAAACTTGTGTGTTGCACTTTTAAATAATCCTTGTAAGTTTACATTTACAAGTCGAAACGCGTTAATATAACCAATCAGCACTAACACACCAGTCTTACATTAGGAGGCGAGAATTTAATACACTTAGTTTTGTTGGAGTTTAATAATAGATTATTATATGTGAACCAATTTAATATAGTAGAAATAGCATAATTTACATCGTCTAATTTAAATAATATTTAAATTAAACTAATATTTAAAATATACTAACGAAGTATCATCCGCAAATAACACTATATCTTCAACGTTCTCTACCATGTAGGGAAGGTCATTTATATAGAAGGCCCTTAGACTTCACATCATCAATATCTACAGTTTGCACCCTATCCTCTAGATGAGTTTTCATTAGATTTAGGTCATTATCTCTAATACTACTAAGTAAGTATAGAAACACACAAACTCATTAATCTATTAGAAAAACAAATCTATGACTGTTTTAAGTAAAATAATGACTTTGTGACTAAGTAGTGCCAGCGACACAAACAAATAAAGAAACTGTTTAAAAGTGTATATATAATTTATATATATATATATATATATATATATATGTTATTTGTGCTACCTAATTCTTTGAGTATTAGTTAGCACAATTAATTTAATACAATAAGTTGGATCGTTTTATTGTGGTGGAGTACATATTTTACAATATTGATATAATAAATAGTTAGTGAGTTTAAAACTATTAAAATTGACAAGAACTCATAAACACATAATATTTCTTATCAATACAATATTACGAAAGTGAATTATTTACTTTGTACAACACAAAGATAAGTATTTAAAATTCTTTACCAAGTATATTATAAATAGTAATTGAATGTTGATATAATTATTTAAAGTTAGTTAAATATAAACTTCGATATATAAGCAATTTACTTCTATTCTTGTATTTTGATTTACGCACATTGAATTTTAAATACATGAGGAGCATTTTACTCCAAATTTCAATTACTCTACAAACTTTGTCGTAGAATTAGAGTGTACAGAATTAAACGTGTGGAGGTATGTGGAAATATCAAATGTACAGGACTTTTGGTCGCGTTTGAAACAGTTTCGTAAATTGCACGTAATTTGCGCGGGTGCTCGACAAGGAATCTACTGTCTTTAGTCGGACGGAATCTGTCTCTATGAGGTCTTGTATATGTCGATTTACAAACTTGATGTTGGTACGAGATAGCCACAAGTACAGCAAATGACTTTAACAATGATTCATGATAAATAGGTTTTTTAAATAACTTAAAAAAAATTAAAGGGATATAAAATATAATAAGATTACTGTAAACGTTGGCTCCAAAATTCTAAGTTATATGGCTACTTATTTTAATTAATTAATTAAAATAATGTTATAATTATTATAATTAATTATTATAAGTATAATTATTATAAATTATAATAAATAAAATATTATTAAAGATAAATTTTATTTATACTATAATACTTTATTTAAAATAAAATATAGAATTCCTTCATACATGTACTATATATGAAACAATACTATGTCCCAACAATGTATTTTATGTCCCAGGCACATACAGACCAAATTTTCTAAATATCAATAATAAAGAAATAAATATTAATATTATTACCAGCTGCCCCGGGAAATGTTCTTTTGCTATATAAATTAAAGTACTAATTTCCCCATTAAAAATAGAGATTGATTGTAGAAAGTAGAAAATTTAGGGAAATTTATTAATGTTTTTAATTCCAAATCATAAAAATTTATCCAAAACAAAACAAAATTGGAGTGGGACCATCTTTGTCACTTAGGAGTGAGAAAATACATTACTTGCTGTTGTCAGATCTATGAATATACTCACGAACTTTCATCAAGAATCGGTTAAGCCCTTTTGAAGGAAACTCCAAAACAAGCATTGTTACAAGCACTGTGAGACCAAAATTAGAATTAGGATGGATATGAAATTCTATTCTATCTTATATTATAGGAAAACATTTCTAACGTTCTAAGTTCGCAATGTGGTTAGTGCTTCAAGGACCTACATCGTATATTTGATTTTAGTACACAAAATCTTTTATAGTTTTAGTATTGTTTAGGTGATTTCGCAGTGGAAAAGGTAACAAGTAATTAGATAGCCTGACCTTTGTGCAAACTGGTTAGCCGCGCCCACATACGCAATTAATGGTTTATAGAACACAATTATTAACTGTTTTACTTTTTGTTAGAATTATGAAGCAATTTTAGGGAGGAGGAGGGGGAGGTGTTAATCCTTATAATACAAAATGTAATGTAACCTGTAATGGTTTTAAAAGAGTTTTCACAGTTTTATACAAAAAATAAGCTATTTCAACTGTGTTACCAGTTTGCTAATAAGAAAAAACGGTCAAAAATATATAGTGTTTTCACACATTTTTTGAAGTGGCGCAAGTATAGTTTCAACTAGTCGCTATAGTCATTTAACATTCCTACGAGTCGGTAATTTTAACAACAAAAACGGATTTTACGATAGTTTCGTAATTCAACTGTATTTTTCTGTTATTTTTCATTCATGAATAGATATCTTTTTAAAACACTAGATACATCGGAAAATGGCCAGTACCTCGGCAATCATAAATTTAGTAGACAAACAGCAGTGCAGCATAGACAGCAGCGTCGGAATTGGCATTGATTTCGCCGACACAAATGTGAAGTTCCACGTAGGTGTATTTGGAGCAAGCCCGGTCGTTCTACAAATACCGTCGTGTTTGATCTGTAGTGAGTAAATTCTCTTTGGGAAAGTTCCTGATTGTCTATGTTATTCATATTGGCTAATTATGGTTCCTGATGAGTTGTGTGTTTGTTAGAAAGTAGGATGATTGATTTTTGTTAAACCATAAATTATTATCTGTATCATATTTACTGTTGTGAGAATGCTACATGGGATACCGTAGGAGTCCGGAACACAAAGTAATGGAAAGTTTAAAATTATTGTCATCTAATAACATAGAGAATATGAGAGAGAAGCAGTGAGCAGCAGTATGGATCCAGGAGGTCAGATTCTCTCTAAGAAATTGCATTGTTGAACTATGTATATTAACGACCTTGGTAGTTTAGTAGTTTAAAATACCGCCTTCAGTTGGACGCAGGTTTGGTTGCAAAAATAGGTATTTATGAGTACGATGTTTTTATTAGTTTAAGTATATAATATGTATGTTATTCCAAAGAAGTATATTTAGTACTCGTATAAGTTGTCTAGTACAAATAACACAAGTTCTGCTCAGCTTAAGACTAGATAGGATTGTATGAATTGTTCTAGATTATGATTATGCATAATACGTCGTATTTGAACTACAGTACTTATTGGTGTAGATCAAGTGTACTATTAGCGATTGAGTGTGTGCGATTCCCAGTGGAATCGTTATCACTTTTAGTAGCAACATCAGCATTAGGATGGTGTTAATGACCATTCCCTTTGTCTCAGCATCTTTGGAGATTTATCTAAGTCTTATCTGAAGATTCATTTGTACGGATCAGTGATACGTATAACACAATATATAATTGGTATTTACGAAAGCATCTCTCAATATTAAAAATATTATAGTTCATTATGAAGTAACTTTTCTTAAATACTATCTAAGTTTATTGATAACAAAACTTATAAATCTATATATTAAATGTAACCAAATGTATCGATATCTTTGAATAGGTATGCATACTCCTACTTAGATACCAATACAATCAGGAGCCCTATCATTGACTGGATATCGTGACGGAAATTCAAAGAGCTCATTAGTCCTAAAACAACATAAACTTGTGACTTGTTTAAACAAGACCCCGGCGAAATCAACGGAATTGCACGTCGTATTAAACATTCTGAAAGTTCGGACGTGGGGCTCGAGCCCCTTCCAATGAAAAGAGGTGACATGTTAAAGTTTACTTTTAGAACAACCAGAATTGTTTGTTGTTGATGTCCTAAAACAAAAGCTGTTGTATTATCTTGAGTGTATTTTGTCTATAAGGTTCCATAGAATTTTGACACACTCTTTCATCTAAAAAAATTAAATAGATTTATAGCTGTTATTATTGTTTATAACTTACAATATCCTAGCATAAACATTATTTTAATATTGACCAGATTTTTTGAACTGCTTTTGAATTGTCTTGCATATCTTATATGGTTATTAGTGCAAATGTTTTAAGTATTTTTAATGTTCAATTGCGAATGATAATTTCAACTTGAGTTTGCAGTTTTAAATATTTTCGCGAAGCAACTTCCTGTTATGTCTACTGAAAAAGATATTTCCTCTCATCTTTAGTACGACCTGTCATTTTTATTTTTTAATTACCGTGCTCTGTCCATCGTCTGTCTTAATTATTATTATTATGTATATGATATTAATATTTTTCCTTTTTTTGGTATTTTCATGGTTGTACTAATAAGATTATATCTTAGTAGTTCAACCATGAAAATAGGCGCTTGGAAATGATAACGATTTCCCATATATTTTTTATTAGTATCTAATCTTATTATTTTCATACGTAATATTTACAGAAGATATTTATTAGATATACCTAGTTATTAGTTGATTGTTTAATTTCAATACATTTTGACAGAAATGACAAATATTTCTATAAACATACATATAACATATTAAAAAGCTGCTAACAAAATAAATTTATAATTAGACAAAGTAGTATCATCATTTATTTTTTACGTTCATCACTAATTACTAAGTATTGAAACTGACACGGTCAAATTGCCGCTTGTTCATTTGGCACCGTTCAGTTTTTCATTATTTTCTCACTGAAACAAAGAAATCACAGTTAAGTTTTCGACAGAGCAGCAACTTTGAGACGATCAACTTTTTTTATCGAACATTCGATACCTTACTTAATTGAAAAGTTTTAAAAAGACCTTTATAAAAGTTTCCGGATAGATGGACACATAATTAAGATGAGACGATATTTTTCACGGCAAAAATTGTGATCCTTAATTGTGCGTAAAATCATATTTCTATCAAAAAATGTTATTGAAGAGAGATTAATTTAAAACAGAAGCAGTTTTTAATTCCATAAAATACTTATTTAGTTTTAGTTTGAGATACTCTACATCATAATAAATAAAATTATTAAAATAAACTCCATATTACTTCTCCGATCGACCCCCCTCCCATTCAAATCGAGATTAAAATTACGACGGACTGTGTCGAGTTTCGAACACCTAGCTGTACCCTGCTCACACTATAGTCTTAGCCATCATACAGAAGTTGTTTTTCAGCCATTCCATAAGTCCATTTCGTAAGCATGGGCATATATATATTTGTACTCGCCTCAATTTTCGGTCTTTGATGTCTACTGCTTACGGCATGAGAATAGTTAGAAAAAAAGTTTGCTTAGACAGTAGTAAACTACAATAAAAACAATATGTTTGTTTCTATTTTCTCTTGGATTACAATTCAAGTCGTTCTGTTTAGAAATGTTATCCAAGAAATTGAACTCACGGATGATTTTTCTCGTAGACGCTCGGGACAAGAAAGCAGTTGGATTCTCGGTACATGATATCACGTTTCTTACTACATGGCCATGCGATACTCCAAGCTTCGTTCTGAAATAAAATATAAATTTCATCTGTATAAAAATAATATTATTATTGTAACGTATACGCGACTAAGGCTTTACAACAAACAGCAATGTGGGCAAAGAGTTATAAAGCCTTACTGCATGGATATCAAGCGGTAAGGCTTTATAACTCTTTGCCCAATAATTTAAAGACAATATATGTACGATCAGAAACAAGTTTAAGTGCAGGTTGATGAATTTATTAGTAAAATTTATTAAAAGTGCATAATTTCAAATATAATATAAATTGTTACAGAATAAATAAACACTGAATACTTATAACGAAATAAAAGAGACAAATTTTATGTTTATCGATTGAACCAGAAACTAATTGATGAATTCAAGATCTGAGTGTGAAGAGTGTTATACTCTTGTTCATCCAATCATTTTGTATCAAGAATATCGTTTAAGTACTTTCCCTATGTTTATGGCATTGAATTCTAAATGTAATATTAAATAATAACGCTGGACAATTCATACAACGCCGTCTAGTCTCAGGTTTAGCGGAGATTGTGAGATTCATATTTTGAATACACAGACAATATACACAAAAATCACCCAGAGCAATAAAAATAATCATACTAATGAGTACATAATGTTTGTATCCTGCGAGGAATTTAACCGGCGATCATTGGAAGTAAAGCGGTAGTAAATCGCTAGGTCATCGAGACCGTAGATACTGTAAATACTGTTATCATTTTAATAAGTAAATAGTAATATATTAAAAAATATATAGTTGGAATAAATTCTTACCGCTTTTGCTCCTTTAAAATTATAACGATGTTTTTGCTCTTGTGATAGACGTAAGAGTCTTCGCTGCTCTTGATCTTCATCCTGTAAAACATATTGAATTAAAACAGATATCTAAATACTAACTTCTGCATTATCTGTATCTAGAAAAAGCAAAATTATCTTCCTATTATAGTTTGAAATCTGCAAAATTTTTTCAAGCCTATTTTAAAATGCATATTAATAGAAACATTCCTTATCTTATATGAAATGATTACTTTTATCAGGTAACTACTTATATGTATGTATTAGGTTGTTATTATATTATATTAATTATTATTTAGGATGTAACTTTAAATATTTCTGTGCCGTAATAGTAAAACATAGTTAAAAAAGACCTAAGGAAATAAATAATTGTTAATATTCAACCACATGTAAATATGAGTAGTTGAGTAGGAAATACCAATTTCAACATCTCACTCGTGCTGTCAGAACTTTTCTAATAAAGTAAAAATGAGTATGGGAAACTCCACGAGGTATATACTAACAAAGTCATCTTGGTACACATAGTAGGTGGCTTCGTCGACGTCTGGTCTGGAACAGAACAATCATAATTAGCAGTGAAGTTTACTTCAGCAAAATAAATAACGCCCTTTAAACTTTAAATTAGTTTCAGACATAGTGATTTGGCGAGAACATGTATGATCTGTAACTTTTAATAGAATTAGTTATCAATTATTATGTTGGACTGTATATATTTATACATAAAATATTTAATAACTAGTAGACACTTAATTTTTTAGGGATTTTTGTGTACTAAATGTAACGATGTCAATCTCTTCGTACCGAAGTTAATAACATAAAAAGAAATAGAATATTTAAGCAACTTCTAAAACTCCAGTTAATAAAATTACAAAACATGAGACCAATAAACTCTATTTATCTAAAAAAATAATTATCCAAGCACGTACATGATTTATTTACACGTGTTGTACAAAACTTGTAATTTAAACTAACCTTAATACTATTTCATTTCAGGTGTAATAAAACAATAATGATATGAAAAACATGCAAACATAATTAAATATTCCCTATTTTAATTTCTTTGGACCTTTGTTTTAATGGAAAATAGGTATATAAATTTTTAATTAAAATAAGAAGATTTTAACTGTGTGTCTAGTTTTCTCAGTGAGCACTTACGCCGATAGACATAATTTGATTTCAATGCCAGATTCAACTATTAAATCGTGTGCTTCTTGGACAGTAAGCTTCTGAGTATCAATGCCATTGATATTATTTAGGACATCTCCTACTTTCATACCTGCATGTTGAGCTCGACTGTCATTTTTCACCTGAAAAATATAAGGATTAAAATAACAACTGGCTAAGTTTAGAACTAAATTAATATTGTGATTTATAGTTATTCGGGGAGAGCCACCTAAGTCAAAGAGTTAAATTAAAGAATACTTATTGGGTTGATAAATTATAAAAATACGAAATATTCAAATAACAGATTATAATAAATAATAATTAATCTAAATAAAGCTTATAGGTTTATTCAGCATACGAGTAAGCTGGAAGCTGCTAATTGTTAAGTGCTGGTGTTTCACCAGATACCTTTATGAAATTTGCTGAGTAAAGACCGCCGATAGCGAATGTGGATAAAACCATGAGAATGATCTACATATATCTATGAACTAAAATATACGTAACATTTCTGTAATCATAAAATTTCCTAGTCTACTTATTTGAATAGTCGACAGAGCTGGAAGATTGGAGTCTTCGTGAAAATATCTTATTTGCATTTTTTATAAAGAACAAGTATGACATAGAGATTAACAAATAATAATAAAGAAAGGCAGAATGTTTTCTTCGTAAGATATTTTTATATTACCAATAGAAATGGCAATATACATACGGCGACGTTATAAAAAAATATTTATCTAAGATATTATTATATTATTTTATGTAGTTAAATATTTTTACATAATATCCTTTTAAAATGAAAAGGACGAAGTAAGGGACGTTTACAGATGGATAAATAAAACGCTACGCATCGCTTTTTGTAATTGGCTTCGATTTACTGCCAATAGGAAATATTAATATATCAATTGTTATGTACAGACAAATTTAATTCCTTTGTAATAGCGTAGTAAAATTACTATTATACTGTATGTATAATAATTTTAAAATGTAATAATGTTTTACTTAATGAAAATGTGAAAACATGTATTTGAAATAATAATGATCATATATTATTTTTAGTATTTAAATACTAAATAATTTTAAAGGTATTTTATACATATCTATTTACAGGCAACTTAGTCCTCTGCAGGCTCCAAAGCCAACCAAATAATTATCTAGTGCGTAGATATTGTTTTAAATATACAAAGAAAATATTGTTGTTGTTTTATTATTCGTGACTTTATATAACGATTCTAATAATAAAGATATATACGACATAAAACTTTTACAATATAATGATGTATGAGCTTGGATGGGAAAAATACCTTTAATTAAAAGCTAACCATGTTGCTTAAAAATTGTAATACAGAACAGATTGCATGTTGGAAACGTAAATCACTGTCAGTTTCTTGGACAGTCAGCGCAATAAATGGGCTCTGGTTTATTAAAATATCGATCCGCAATGACTGTGGGACAATTGTGCTCTCTGGATTGAATAGGCGTACGAGTCATGACTAGGAGTGAATTTAGTTTGAATGACGTTTGTGTATACCATTGTTGCATTGGAAGCTTTTTATTTACGTACCATAGTATTCATCAAGTTTGTTCACGAGACTATCTATCATTAATTGTCAAAGTAAAAATTATGGTATAATTTTTTATTTTTACATAATTGGAAAAAAAGAATTACTATTTTCATAAAAAAGCATTATAGCGACACTCGAATTTTATTATGAATCCAAATACCTTATATTTAAAGTACAGTAAATAATATTTGGATGCAGTATTTTTAAAATCATAAATAGTTTTTTAGGTATTTGGAATAGGAAACAAACTGACGACCCAACTGATATTAAACGGTAATTATACGTTATTCTATGAATCAATTACCACTCATATGCTGCCTTCCAGAGGACAAACTATCATGTCTCTTAATCTGTAATGTGTCTAAGCTTGCAAATTAACCACTTAGCGGCTGAAGTAGGTGAGACTGTGAGACGCAGTCATATTTACAGTCTACCTTGGAAGCAAATGGACAAACAATAATCTGAACCTTGAATAAATCAATCCTAATTACTAATACATAAGTACTGATATAAATTGTCTATTAGATTATATTACATACCTGTGTTATTCTCAAGGGCGTATTATAGTAAGAACCACCAGCCAAATTAAATCCCCATATCGTATCATCAAAGTTGACACGTTCGTGTATCCCTTCATTGTCTGATTTCCATGATGGTAGTTTTTCTGCATTCTGCAGTGTGAATTCTAGTTCCTTTTGTAGTTTTAACTGACAATAAAAAAATATTAGATATATCAAGTTGCCTATAAATAAGTCATTAGATATATAAATATAATAATAATATTAGCAATGTATTTATTTGAAGTTAGCATTAGGTGGACCTACTTTTTTTTGTTTTCAGTGTACAAAATACATTTATTAAAGAACCAATATTACTGATAAATTGTACTTTTATGCAGTAGTAATTGTGATACTGCATAGTGTGATATTGTGAAGACTGGAGCAGTACTCCAAAAGTCGTGAATCTAAACCTGTTTTCTGAAACTTTGTTTTAAAAAATAATGTATATCACACCGTTATATTCATATTCAAAACTATGATCACGTCATTGACTGTTTGTCTGTATAATTGTAAAACTAAAACTATAGATAAGTTTTATTCAAGATATAATATACTAAATTAGCACAATCTACCACTTCTTCACGAATGAATAGTTTCCTCACTTGTAAGTCTAAATAATAGTTTATTTGTTTACAATTTAATACGAATTATTTCATGGTAAATGAATCGATGTAACGATTTTCACTGCAATCGGTGATTTGACTAGGTTATATACAGTTCACTAAAGAACATCGATGTCATTCTCGGTGTCAGTAATTTGTTTGACTACCGTCACGAGATTATCCCACACAAGTTTACGAAACTCCTCACAGGCGATATCCCTTATTGACCGATATTATCAAACCTCGTCTAAACTTATTTATCATGGGATTTCACGCAGATGACAACCTTAAGCTACCTTTACGGTTGACATTCGTGTATACTCATAATTTATTTTCGCTCGCCTATCACACCAATTGTTAGTAATAGTGGTGATCAGTGCATAGCCTTTATGTACGTATAAATTTATAGAGTTAATAATAAATACATGCTTATATACATGAACAGCACTGTAGACATCACGTCATCATGTGATGCCTTAGACATTCATACGTTGCCATTCCGGAGGAATAAGACGCAGTTCAACCGAATCGCAGCTTATAATGTAAGCTGAAATTGAGAGAGGAACCCACGTACACGACTTCTTGTAAAGTCTACTTCGGTTAATTAATATAATAATATATTATGATAATTCGTATCTATGAACTATCAAGATATATTATTAATACGGTAGGTATCTAGCACTTTATGCTAATATTTTATAACTAAATGTAATTTAAAAAAATAATTTTTTTATAAATATTCTAGGTAATGATAGTGACAAAATAAAATTAAATATATTTGCAGGACTGTCATAATTAGAACCTTCTAGATTATATATCACCAGAGAACCGGTGATATATAATTTAGCATTTTGTATGTAGATGTAGGATACAAGAAGTTCAAATATAATTGATTGTCAATTGTCTTCACATAAAAAATTATATGAATAAATGACTTGGAGTTTACATACGTTTACATGTTTATGAAAAGTAGAAAACGACGAAGCCTCTAAATATTAATATATAATGTATCCCTGTGTTAAAATTTTGTATTAAGTTCTATTAAGCAAAAACATGTATATTGTTAGCCATATGCTCTTATGTTAATAAATAAATAAATTCATAATTTCAAATACCAGTATTTGTTACCACATGCATAACATTACGGACATTTTCAGTAACAATTAGTAATAATTAATAGTATTAAATATTAACAATATATATATATATATATATTTATATTAAATATCTTAGAGACTTGTTTATTTGTAGTAGGTAGTTAATTAATTAAAGTATAACAAACTTACATTTTTGACTTTCCTATCCATCTTCGTCAAAGATAATAAAAGTTGCGAAATGTAAACTTAGTATGCTGGAATTGCTACGAACACGCTTTTTGCTTTGGCGAGTTCGCTGAGTAATGAAATTGTACTGAAGCTGGCGCTCTTTCATTCATTATCTTAATCACTGATGCATAATCGGGGGGCCTTTGTTAATTGGACGTTATTAATAAACTGCACGAGTGTGGTGAGAACAAACAGTAGTGCCTCTCATCATCCAAGTTTTTCTTATTTCCCCGGACGATGCACTAGAGTTGTTTTCTTATAATTTTGTACAAAAGGAGGTTACATTTTTAAATTCCAATATAAATTCAGCAAACCTCTATTGACGACAATTTTGTTCACTTTTATGTTTTTACGCATTCAAATCAAGCAATCATTCAAGAATCGGTATAAATTAAAAGCTAATGATAGGTATTTTTGCTTAAAATACTGTAGACTAGATATCCTTCAAGATTGATTGAAATTATTATTATTATCATGACAGATGTTATTTAAAGTTTTATACATCTATTTTAACCTCGATCATTCAAAATAAACGGCATCAGTTATGTATGTCCGTCTGTCTGTATACAAATAAATTTTCATTACTCCGCTGACAGAAAAAAAACATGTGATTGATTGAGAATTCAAGTACGACGTTCGACATCCCAAGACTGTTGGCAAACTATCTACTACATGATACTGCTGTCATCGGTATCTTTTAGATGGAAGTTGTACAATATTGTTTTCAGTACCTACATTTACTTTACATACTGAACTAGAAAAATGTATACAATCTTAGAAATACAGAAGTTGTCTATTCGACAGTGAATTTGTACATATCTGTATTATACAACATATTCGCCCACATTGAATTAATTTTAGATTTTTTTGTTAATCCAAAATTTGTATAATAAGCATGTCTAATTTCCAAATTCAGTCACATAAGAGGGTTTTTAAACCCTGTAATGTAATTATTATAGTCAATAAAATGTATATATATGGTATATGTAAGTCTATTGGTATATACTTTCTGCTACATTTTCAAACACCAGATTTTTATAACAAATGATTGTAATAGTAAACTTATGCAATGTATTATCCAATAGACTACATGTATTTGTTGCAATATGTTATTGTACAATGTTAAACAAGAGTTCTCACAAGAGAAGAAACAAAACATTTACCATTAGCAATACTAAAATATACGTGTATTTGTCATTTAATTTCTCCGTAACGACTGGATCTTATTAATGAAATTTTGTATATTTCTATGGGTTCATGAATGGTTTGAATATACAGTTGGACTTATCAGGTGAACTGTCTTCTAGATAGGACAAGTTCGAGCTGTGAATATCTAATTTATTATTGTTCAATATATCTTATAGGAAACAAAGGTATAATTATATACATAACTATCTAAAGTACGTACCTTTAATCACTATAAACATATTTTTAATTTTATTGGCTTAATAATTGTTTTAATTCGTTTCTATTATTTGATTACTATTATTATCTTATTCAAAATAAAACAAAAGTCCTAACAACAATGTCGCATGGAATATGGTTTAAAAAGCGGGGTAGGTAATAGTTATTAAATTGCAATTTTAAGCTTTACGCTCCTGGACGATAAGAGGATTTTGATTCCCCTTCCAGTTTTTGCTGTATATACATAGGGCTGTTGGGTTTGAAAGGTGTCACATTTTGGTCATAACTAAGTGAAGGGGAAAAATACAATTAAAATTATCCTTTTTACGTCTAAACCAATATTATAAAGCTGAAGAATTTGTTTGTTTGGTAAAACACCTTTATTTGTGTAACTACTTTGAATTGAAAAATCTTATTATTCTAGAGCCCCATTTATGAGACTTCGTCTGCATCACACTCATCATTATATATAGCCCAATTTACATAATTTCTTTTTAAATTATAAATTATAGTCTATGTGTTATTCTGGTGTATAAGCTATGTTACTGGAAAGTTTCATCAACATCCGTTTAGTAGTTTTTGCGTGAAAGAGTAACAAACATCCATCCATACACATAAAATTTCGCATTTATAATATTAGTAAGATAGTATATATTGAGAAAAGAAATATCGTTAGAAACATTATACAGTCGCCACCCCTGAAACTCGCATCTGCTCGAAACTCGAATGGTGTAAAAACGCGTTCCATTCCACGGCCGCTAGGATTACGATGTCAATGTAAACAAGATCAGTAGAAATATTTTTCATGCGAGCGACGCAAATGGCAGTCGTTCCATCATTTCGCTCCATCTTCGTTTCCCATGCTTACATTTATTTCATTTCATTGTTTTGTTGTTATTTTACGGAAGAAGATATTCGGGTTTGTATTATGTTATTGTTATTAAAGGGGCGCGCTTCTTTCCCTTTAATGTCAGACAAATAAAGTGAAGCAATAAAAATGTCAAATAAATATTTGAAACACTATTATTAGTAATGCTAAATGAAATAAAAAATAGTTGAAAGAGTTAATATAACTTTTGCACCAACGTTATAGTTTTATTTTAATATCCTTACTTCCTTACTTTCTTACTAATATTATAAATGCGAAAGTAACTCTGTCTGTCTGTCTGTCTCGCTTTCACGCCAAAACTACTGAACCGATTTAAATGAAATTTGGTACACAGATAGTCTAGACCCTGAGAAATGACATAGGCTACTTTTTAATGCGAAAATAGGGTTGTAAGGGGTTGATATTGGGGATGAAAGATTGTATTGAAGAATCGTCATTTTTGAAGCTAGAAGATTAAAACTCATTTGTGATGCTGCTAATTGAATATAAATAAATATGACATACAAAGTTTTTAAAAATTTTACCCTTAAAGGGGTTAAATAAATTAGGGGATAATTTTTATTATGTAAATTCGTCATGTTTTAAGCTAGAAGCTTGAAACTTATTTTTGAGGCTGTTGATTAAATATAAACAAATATGACATTCTAAGTTTGTAAAAACTTTACCCTTAGGGGGGTAAAATAAAATAGGGGGTGAAAGTTTTTATGTAAATTCGTCATTTTTGAAGATAGAAACTGATTTTTGAGAAAAATTAAAGAAAATATTATTATTATATTAATATTTATAATAACAATTTAATTATTATTATAAATAAAGAAAAATGGGCTGTAAAGAATTTAAAGGAGAGTTAAATGTTTATATATAAATATTGTCATTTTTAAAGATAGAAGCTTGAAGTTTAATTTTTAGCCTATTTATATAGGATAATTATTATTTTATAATTGCATATTATTATGCACAATGTCAATCTTCGTACCGAAATGTAAGTATTGCAACAAATACATGTAGTCTATTGGATAATACATTGCATAAGTTTACTATGTAGAAAAAGAGTTATATGGGGTTGAAAGAGTTAGGTATGGAAGTGTCGTCATTTTTGAAGCAAAAAGGACGAAACTTTTTCATTTGGCTTTTATTGGGTTAGGTCATTAAATATTTTTTCATTATTTTATTGCTTTAAATACGTATTTTTGTGTGCTTTTAAGACTAGAATTCACAATTGACATCTAAGATTTTGGTCAGTAATTATAAATCGATAAATATCCATATTGAGTATTTTGTTTTATGCATCACAGTAAAGGTTGAAAAGAAAGTATTTTTGCATACTTTATTTGTATGTAAAAGTATAAGATATAATTACCAAAAATAAACCCTAACTATAACATTACTGTAAAAATATTCCGTTTATAATTGTAAACAATTAGATCAACGTTTGAAGTAGTTAAATTATTACTTTCAGAAATTGCTGCTCTTACATCGTTAAGTATCATAATATAGTATGTTGCATATTATTATGCACAATGTCAATCTTCGTACCGAAATGTAATTGTATATACACCAGCCTTGCGGGATATATATGTGTATAGCCACAGATAACATAATATAGCAGACATGACAAATTATGAGAAAACTCATCACTGCCGATATAATTAATATAGAGTGATGAGGTAGCAATATTTTCGCAGAAATTCATATTTTTAAAAATATGAATTAATGCGAAAATATTGCTGTTTGTTTTGTTATCGGAACTGCTTCTTTATTGTTACACTCAACAGGTGTGTGTACATCAATATTCTGTTACGGTGTAGTGTGGTGAATAAATATTTGAAAAATACACACCAATGCGTTAAGGAAAACTTCCCCCATGAAAAATATGGCTTGCAGTGTTCTCATAATAATAAAAGGCCGTATAAAATTTTGTGGGAGTAACAATGTTACATAAATGTGTAAATATATATTGTATTTGATTTTTATTTGTTTTTCATGATCATATTTTCAGGGCAGTCAGCTTGTTTTATTTTTAATTACATATAAAATGAGTTTGGTGGTTGTGATGGTACATCATAACGGCTATTCAGCAATCGTTATAAAATCTATAGGTAACATGTACGTAGTATTAGTAGTAGACATGCTTTTTATACCAGCCAACCATGGTCACGCAGATAAGTCACCAAGTCAGAATTGGACACATAGTCAAATGGTAATAAATTAAAGTTTATTTGGTTAAATTACATTTTCTACGTACAATTTCTTAAATATGTTTAATTTTATTCTCTAATTTAGAGAAAAAAGTATAGAAGGTTAACAAATTTATTACTATGCTACAATAATAGGAGTATATGTGTCATAACAATATTATATTAACAATTATTTGATTTCTAAATTGTTTATATATATTATAAATTAGCTCGAATAACACATATATTGATTTGATTTGAGATTATATGGTGGACGTATAACAATGACAGATTTCATTATGAAATTAGACCCCTTTATATATTAGAGCCTTGCTGTAACTTTTATTGCTTTACTGTAAGTTTAATAAATGTGTTGAAAAGTAAGAAGCTATAGGGAACTGTAGAAAGCAAAACGTTCACATAAAATTGTGCCGTAAAAATTCGCAATGCGTATTAACTCTTAGACCCCAGAGCGGGAAAGTTGGTGCCCCCAAGTTTTTTGAGAAAACGTTTCCTGTTATAAATATTTTGGGACAACTACGGTACGTTCTTCATCTTGCAATCCATTTACAGAAGGGAGTTTGAAA